CGCCGGTACGGCCTCGCAGGTGCGACTGTAGCCCCGCAGAAGCGGGAATAGCTGAGTAGAAAACGGGTCTTCGAGGGTTTAATTTTATTTCATTTTTGGATCCTAGAGAGCTTTGTTTATGGCGATTTTTCGAGGATTTTTCAAGAAAATCATCGGGGTAAGTGACTCTAACCCGGATTTGACTATATTACATGAATTCACTGTTTATTTTCATCATTTAATTAGTGATTTAAATTGAAAATTCGGAAAAAATTGTGAAAACTTCTTAGACTAATTTTTGGGGATTTTAAAGACGATTTGAAGTCGGATTTGAGTAATTCTTGTATGGTTGGGCTCGTTATCGAATGTGTGTTATAATTTTATAATTTTAGTCGTATTCCGTGACACGGGCCCAGGGTTGACCTTTTGAGTTGACTTTTTGTTTATCTTTAAAGATTGCAACTTTATTGTTCGGAATAGCTTCCTATAGTTTATATTTATGGCATGAAGTTATTTTGGCTAGATTCGAGCTGTTCGGAGTTGGATAATCGAGGGAAAGGCTTAATAGTGGATTGAGTTAGCGTGCTTTGAGGTAAGTGTCTTTCCTAACTTTGTGTGGGAAAAATTACCCCTTAGGATTATTGTTGTTTGAGTTAATTTTTATATGTGGAAGCTGTGTACGCAAGGTAACGAGTGTGAACACGTGCTAAATATGGTAATTGACCGGTTCTAGCTATGTAGATTCCTTTCATGCCTTTAATTGAGTTACCATAATATGTTATCTTCATCATCACTAGTCTATTTTCACATCCTTTACTTGTCTTATCTCTTACTTGTTAATTGTCTTTACATGTTTAGTTGACGTTATTGTTCCTCTATTCCTTATTCATTATTTAACCGTTGAGTTCCTTACTTGAAATTGTTATTTCTTGGAATATCTTTTTGCTGAAACTGATATTGAGTTATAAAGGTTGTGATTCACATTGAGGCAAAGTTGTAAAGTTATGAAATACCATTCTTGTTAGGTTATTCACCTTTGATTGTCATTGTTGAGACTTTTGTGCATATTGTGGTTGAGCCATGTTTTATTTATTGTGGAAACACCATTATTGTTGACTTCTTTGGCAAGAAGTGATATTGGGCACTTGAGGTGCGATTTGTGATACGTTGTGATATTGATACGCATGCGGTGGTATAAGGAAGATGGTTGAAATGCATGCGGTCATGAGATAAGGTGGACTTGATACGCGTGTTTCTAGTAGGGGAACCACTTGAAGCCACGCAGTGTGATAAGGTGGCTAAAACGTGGGAAGTAATTTCGGAAAAAATATTTTTCAAAACTAAATGTAAGGATTCCGCGGTGATATAAAGAAAGATTGTGATTTGTTTTGTGATTTGAGACGGCAAGACGGTACATCGGTAGTAATTCTTGTTGGTACTTTTCTATTGCATCACTTATTGTTTTGATTGCTTGTTTTCCTTGGCATATTATTTCTTGTTTTCTCCTGTGATGCTTTATTTGCCTTAGTTCAATGTAGCTATTCTTGGTATATCTCGTCATTTTCTCATTTTCATTGTTTATCATTATCACATTGTCATATATACTTGTTCAGTTATCTTATTTATTTTAGTAGGGCCTTGACCTGACCTCGTCACTACTCAGCCGAGGTTAGGCTTGGCATTTACTAGGTACCATTGTGGTGTACTCATGCTACGCTTCTACACATTTTTTTGTGCAGATCCAGGTACCTCCTACCAGTCCTAGCACCAATGAGATGAGTTTTAAGATTCTGAGACTTCAAGATATAGTTGTCGGCGTCCGCAAGCCTCAGAGTCACCCTCTAGCTAGTCTACTTTATTTTCTTTTCCTTTATAGACCTTGTTGTATAGGGATGATCAATAGTTTCTTGTAGAGCTTGTGACTTGTTATCACCGGATTTTGGGGAGTTGCGTTCTGTTGAGTTACGGAGTTTATTATGGTAGTTGTTGAGTTATTTGAACGTTTTTATCATTCCTCAGTTATATTTTGTATATGTATGTTAGGCTTATTTAGTATTAGAGACTAGGTGCCATCACGATATCCTACAGAGGAAAATTGGGATCGTGACAATAGGTTAGCCTCTATTCTTAACCAGAGATTTCGGATTCGAGTCTTAAGTATGGTGTCGCTTTTAATAGCGAGTACTTTAATCTCCAAAATGGAACTTCTCCCGTAGCGAATTTTGATTAATCGGGCCCTAAAACGGATAGCTAATACCGGGTGAAAAAGAAAAAGCAATAGATGAAAGAATAAGACTTTTTTAGTTGCTTTTCCTTCTTTTTCAATGGAAATGAAAGCACTTGATATATAAGGGTTATGTTATATATGCTCTCACTGTCACCCAACCTTAAATGGTACATTATCCATCATCCTTTTTAGTTTTTGGTTCATAGTTATCTAAACTTCTGAAAGCAACCTCATGAGATCAACCCCTTCAAATCCACCATTTATTGTGGTTCTCATAATAATGCCAGACAGTCTAAAATTCTAAAATAGGACAGCCCACATCCCCCCTCCACCCCACTCTCACTACCTCTTAAGACTTTGGGGGGGGGGGGGGGTGAGTACAAGGGGTAGCATTTGCAAAGGCGGCATGCATATATGGAAAGGAGAAGTTAGTGGTTTGCAAAGATGATTCTTTTCAATTGTGGAAAAGGGCTTACTATATACCTAACAATGAAGAAGAGGGTAGATGGATAATAATAACTCAAAAATAGAAAGAAGATGGACAAGTGGGCTCAATGGCTAAGGTTTTAAGGGAGGTCTTGTGTACATCATTAGCAAGTACATGCAGTGTTATCACCGAAGACTGTGGAGTCTGATGGAATATTCTTCTACTATACTCTTTTTAATTAAGAAATTTTTTCAATAGAGAACTCTTAACGAAGTTGAGGGAATAAGCTTTTATGGCCATTTATAATGTAAAATTAAGAAAATATTTTTTAGATTTCTTATTTATAAAAGATAGATATTTTTGTATAAAAGCAAATCTCCCATATATTAAAAAAAATAACTCTTAACGTAGAAAGCAATTTACCCTTTAGTGGATTTATTCATCGAAGCCTGAATTAATCTGACCAGTAATTGTTCATACCGAATGTGTAAACAATTTGAAAGAAGATAAACACGGGCTCAATGGCTAGGGATTTGAGGGAGGTCTTGTTAACATCAATAGCAAGTACAAGAGAAATACCAGCAAGAAGTGTGGTGGTAGAATTAAGATTTACTCTAATGAGATTTCAAGATTGAATCTTGTGAATGAATTTTTTTATATTATTTACCCTAAATTAATCAGATCAATGAATATCATATCACATAGGTGTAAAGGAAAAAAAAAATGAAAGATGGACAAGTGGCTCTCAATGGCTAGGGTTTTAAGGGATCAAAGGTCTTGTAAACATCAGTAGCAAGTACAATTAGGAAATATATGCTACTCTAATACTCCCTCTGGTCCAAAATAAGTGACTTTTTTGGATGTTTTCACACAAATTAAGAAATTCACCTTTTAACATTAATTAGTAATAGAATTGACCATATTAACCTTTACTATCTCACATAAACACTCCTAACACATATTCCAACACCATTTACTTCAAGGACAATGTAGGAAAAAAATAATTAATTCATTCTTGAAATATGGAAAAATTACTTATTTTGGACCACAAGAAAAAGGCCAAAAAATCACTTATTTTGGACCGGAGGAAGTAGTAGTAGTTATATATTTGGCTTCAAACATAAAAAAATTATCTCTCTCACTATCTCTCAACTCACCATATAGACTTGGCACAAAAAAGTCATGCTGATGGAAAGAGAGAGTATAAGAATGGGCATAAAAAAAAAGCTAAGTGGAGATAGAAAGAGTACTG